ATCCCGTCCCCCACTCCGGCAATGGCGCCGAACCAGTTGGGTTGGTTGCATCGGCTACCTGAGCCTACCTCGCACGACGTCGACCCGTGTACGGAGTACATACGTTTGCGCTTCCCCCAGCACTGCCACCGTGCTCAAATTCCTAGCGTCTTGGAAGCCAAGGGACCAGACCCTTTTCGAGCAGAAGAGGTGGCGCGCCAGAGCATCTCAAGGACAAGCACACGAAGTGCAAACGCTGTCGAGATGATATCAGCATGGCAAATCGTCCGGCCCCGTGTACGGGAAAGACGATTACATGCCTTCATGTGTGTATATACACCACTGAGGATTGCACTTGGGCAAGTCATCTGCCGTCACCACAGGCCATCGGGTTTGACTCCGGAGTGAGAAACAATATGCCAAGACTGGTTGCGGATGCTCATGCAAGCCGCCGGCGATTCAACGAGGAACTGATTCTTCTGTACTCCGTACGACCCATCGACCTGGACGCCGCCAAGTCTCCGTACCCCAAGCCCAACGCCACGCGAAAGAATTATGTGCGGATTTTTGCCCCGCTACTCTATTGAACTGAGCGAGGGCAAAGAATTTTTCATCTTATTTTCGAATGGGCTTGATAATGGCCGTGTGCGTGTCTAGACTGGGGCAAACGAGCCAAAAAAAAATGTGGTGGCTATGCCCGGCACGCCTGGGCAGCATTTCCTGAGTCACTTTAATGTTCGGCAGCACCCTAGCTTTGAGTTTTAGCTGGGCCCATCAGGCCATAGAGTGTGGTAGTACAAGGCTAGCACGGGCTTGGTGTCGACAGGGGAAATTTTCTTTTCATAAACACCAGACCGCGCCGCTTGTGGAACAACATCCTTTTACCCAGCCGAAGCTTCCTCTTTCCCTTCGACGATATCTAGTATAGACTCCAAGGAAAGCCATCATTTCATCTCCATTAATCTAACCTACATAAAGCTAGCAATTTCTGCAAGTTGCAATTAAAGCGCCTCGTCATTTTTTCTCATTCTTCACTCTCACCACTTTGCTCGCTTACAGCTCACTCGGTTGAGCTGTTATTATCGCAACACTGGAGGCTACTGTGAGCCAAGTTCAAGCAGTCGTGGCGGCGACTGTTGGATCCCAACTCCAACCGACTCCTTTCCAACCACCATAGGGTCTATCTTCGGTGACAATCATCATTCAGTGCCTTTCATTTGATCAAACCATTTTGGTCTTTCCGACACTGTCTTTCGAAAACACCTATACTGGCATGAAGACCCTTTCGCCTGTCGTAGGACCAGCATCAAAATGCCCTTTCTCTCCAACGTTTCCAGCAAGGCTGGCAAGACTGGTCTAGTCCGCGGACTGGCTTCTCGATTTGGACTCTCCCGAACGGCTTCATGGCCTGCCAACATGTCATGGCTTAGCCTCCCTTCGTTGGCCGCGGACACCTCTGCGGAGGCTATTTTGACGGCCTTTGCAGGAATGGAACCTGACATGGTACTCGACCATTTGCAGACTCACAAGGATGGACTGACTGACGAAGAGGCTGATGCCCGCCGATCCATCAAGGGGCCTAACGTGCTACCAACCCATACGGCTCCTTCTTGGTTCATCACCCTTCTCAAGTCCATCCCGAACCCCTTCAATATCCTGCTAATTGCCCTCGCCATCATCAATGCTGCTATTCCTCCTGGAGACTGGGTACGTATTTTGTTCGCATTTGCTCTTGGCGGACAAGAAAATAAACATGACATTTGCTAACTCCATAATCTGCAGAAAGGCTTCACCGTCTTGCTTGTCATGGTCATCATCTCCGTAGCCGTTCGCTTCTGGCAAGAGTATCGAAGCAGCTTGGCAGTCTTCAAGCTCCAGGCATCGGTTTCCTGTAATCTCGATGTTCGTCGCCAGCCAAACATGTCTCTGAGCCAAAAAGTGTCCACTCCCAGTAGTGAGGCTAGCAGCAAGACGGTTGCCGAACAGGATCTTGTTCCTGGAGACGTTGTGGTGCTTTCCCCCGGTTCTGTCATGCCTGCCGACTGCTTGATTTTGGAGGCCAGCTTTCTTCGAGTTAGTCAGTCTACATGGACTGGGGAAAACGACCCGGTACCCAAGACCCCCAGCGTATCTGGCGAGAAAGGCACAACCCTTTTCGATCTCAGCAACATTGCGTTCATGGGAACAAGCGTCATCTCAGGTAACGGAGTTGCCTTGGTTCTTCGAACTGGCGCAGATGTCTTGATTGCAAGCATGGCCAAAGAACTCAAGAAGCGACGTGAACCCAACTCTTTCCAGCTGGGTATTCGACACGTTAGCTACATGCTGATTGGTTTCATGCTCACCATGGTTCCACTGGTAAGTCATAGTCCTGGAAAACGATGCAAATGAGTTACTCAATTTTCCTAGGTGCTGGGTATTTCTGGGTACACTACCAAGGATTGGGACGCCGCTGCTCTCTACAGCATCAGCGTGGCCGTTGGATTGGTTCCCGAAATGCTTCCTGCCATCGTCAATGCCAACCTCGCCCGTGGGGCCTATGTACTCTCCAAGATGAAGGCCATCTCCAAGCGACTCGATTCGGTTCAAAATTTGGGTGCCATGACTGTCCTCTGCAGTGATAAGGTGAATATATTCTCCGTACGAAGTAAGAAGATCGAGCGCTAACCCTCGGACAGACGGGAACCCTGACCAAGGACGAAATCACCCTGTGTCAATACCTCGATTGCAACGGTGATAGCAATGTTAATGTCCTGAAACTGGCTACTGTCGATGCGGTGGTGCAAGGTTCCAACGGTAACAATATTGACGGCGCCATCTTGGACTATCGAATGCCCGACGGCTGCCGTGTCAACACCGCTCAATACGAAAATGTTGCCGCAATCCCCTTCAACTTTGAGCGCCGCAGGTCCGCCTGCGTTGTCAAGGGTATTACCGGAGCCAACCTGCTCATTTGCAAGGGCGCCTTTGAAGAAGTCCTACGTGTGTGCAGCATGGCCCGACAAGGTGGTGTTGTCCTTCCCCTTGACTTCCAGATGAAGCAGACTCTCTTAGAGCGAGTGAATTCTCTTAACAAGGACGGATACCGTGTCCTCTTGGTTGCAATGAAGCAAATCGGCGACATCAGCAGGGAAGACGAGGATGGTCTGCACGAACTTGAATCCAGCATGGTCCTCGAAGGCATGATTAGCTTCATCGACCCACCGAAGGATGATGCTGCCGAATCAATTGCCCAGCTGAAGAAGCTTGGTGTCGAGGTCAAGGTACTCACTGGTGATGCGCTCCCTGTGGCCGTCAACGTCTGTCAGCGTCTTGACCTCATTGGCCGCGATGAGGGCTCCGAAGACGATGACTTGCAAGCCATCACTGGACCCGAACTATCGCTTCTGGAAGAGACTGATGAATTCGATAATGTTGTCAAGACTTGCAAGGTTTTTGCTAAGCTGACGCCCAACCAAAAGGCTCTTGTTATCGGCAGTCTGCGAAAGGCGGGCCATTGCGTTGGAATGCTAGGCGATGGCATCAACGACTGTATTGCACTGCGAAAGGCCGATGTGGGCATCTCGGTTGACTCTGGAGCGAGTGTTGCCAAGGATTGTGCAGATCTGATTCTGACGGAGAAGGGATTGGGTATTATTGTTACCAGTGTGACAACCGGTCGTCTTACCCATGGTAACACTATCAAGTACATCAAGGTGGGATATTCTGGACCGCGGTTTAGTCGAGCGGCACTAACAACGTGTAGATGGTGGCTTCTTCCAACTTTGGCAACGTCTTCAGTATGCTTGTAGCTTCTGCTTGGCTTCCGTTCACTCCGGTACGTCTTTTCTCCGCCGACGGCAGACAGGAATCAAACTGACAGGTCTTAGATGCTGGGTATTCAAATTCTGGCGCAAAACCTGCTTTACGACATTAGCCAGATAGCCATCCCATGGGATCGAGTCGACCCCGAGTATTTGGCTACACCCAAGACTTGGAAGACATGGGGTAATATCAACCCATCTCCATCGAACCGTGTCACCCTAACTAACAACCACAGATCTCCTTCGCTTTGTTGTCGTCCTCGGCCCAACTAGTTCCGTCATCGACATCCTCACCTTTTCACTAGGCTGGTTCTTTTACGGCATCCAAACCGCCGATAATGCAGTCGACGTGAAGCGTTTCCAAACCCACTGGTTCCTCCAAGGGTACGTTGCGTGTCTTTTTCCCTTGACGGCTTCCACTCCCCCTGTCCGCAGAATCATCTGACAAGAAACTAGTCTTCTCACGCAAACCCTCATCGTACACCTCTTGAGAACCGCCAAGATCCCATTCATCCAATCTCGGGCCGCCAAGCCACTTGCCCTGTCTACCACGGCCATCATGATCATTGGCTTTGTGCTCCCTTGGATCCCGCCGGTCCAGCGGGGCCTTAGCTTTGAGCAGCCGGCGCCGTCGTATGTTGGGTTTTTGGTGGCGGAGCTGCTGCTGTACTGCATCGAAGTGCAGATTGTGAAGATGATCTACATCAAGATTTTTAAGACGTGGCTGTAAAGTGTCGGCGGGGGGTTCTTATCCGGTAGTAGGATATGATGCGACTTGGGGGATGTGGATGGTTTCAACATATATGCCTTGGCATACAGAAGCGACGCTGGCTCTTCAACAGCGCTGGCAAAACAAAAGTTGGTTTCGAATCGAGTGCTTGGATTTCTTTGTCTCTGCATGTACGTCAATCGTTGTGGTCGGTAGCTCAATGTGCAAAATATTCGCGTCATGTCACTCTGGTGAAGTGTAAAAAGAGTCAATTACCCTGCCAACGCATCAGGTACAATCAATCCGAGGCAAACGTACGCACCAATCCCGCGGGCCCCGGTGACGGTGGCTAATTATTGCCTGCCGGCAAATAAGTGTACATGCTCCGTACAGAATACACCAAAACGCAGTATTATGCACGCTAATCTTTTAAAAAAGTACAGGATCCCACCCGTGTACACCGTTGACACCACATCCAACCCGTACCCCTTATTATCAATCCAGCTATTCTAATTCAAAAACATCCTAACATTCCCGCCAACATGCTCCAAGTCCAACAAGAAGGTATCGTGCCCAAAGAGACTCATCTCCTCACTCAACTCGACGTGCGTGACGCCCCTATTCCCAGCTAGGCGCAGGCTCTGCGCAATTTCGCGCTGCTGCCACGCCGGAAACAGTATGTCGCTCGCGACGCCAAGAACCAGCGTCGGCGTGTCCCTCAGGGCGGCCAGGCCGAGGACCAGATCCTCGGGGGGCCTCGACGAGGCGGGCTCCAGGGGCGCCGAGGTGTCGACCTGGCTGGCGGGCTGCTCCTCGTACGGCCGGGGCGGCAGGGTCAGCGAGCACGCGGCGTCGTCGGCGGCGTAGGTGCCGTCGCGGCGGGCCTGG